CACCAGGAGGGCCCCTCCCCCGCCCCTTCCGGAAGCGCTCGCAGAGCGTCCCCGCATGGAGCGCGAGGCGAGCGCCGCCGAGGCTGCCGGAGCTGAGGCCGCGCTCTTCGCCTGGGTACGTGACTCCGCCCCCCGGGCCCGGGCCCGGGCCGCTGGGACTCGGGGCTCCGCCGCTGGGAGCTCTGGGCCTCGGCGTGGGCGATCCTGGGCTGCGCGGCCGGGTCCGAGCCCAGCTCTAGCTCTGGGTTGGAGGATCCTGGCCGGATTCGATTGATGAGAGGGAGGGGAGGGAAGAGTCTTCACGGCGTGACTTAGGGGTCCTGCTGGCTGTTGGGGTCCGGACCCGAGGGGCTGCGGCGCGGTGAGAAGAGCCTGCCTCCAGGGCAGAGCGTCAGGTTCCGCGAGAGCTTCGAGAAAGACAGCGTGGAGGGCTCTGACAGGACGGGATCGCTGGGTGTCACAGTCCTGTGGTGCCACCTGTGCTCCCCACCCGCCCACTGCCCGGAGGATGGAGGCCTTTCTCCAGCCCTACCTCTCCGGCGGGAGCAGCCTTTGATTTGAGGCCTGCGGTGTTTGGCGGTGCACCAGGCAGAGACCCTGCATAGTTACTGATATTCTATTGTGACCGGGTCTTGCCTGTATGGGAGCGTGGGCATCTGCGCTGGTGTTGCTTTGACAGAAGCACTGAGACAGTCATCTTTTTGTGTCGTGGCTGGGAGAGATGCACGGGAACAAGCAGACATGGTATCTTGTAGTTCTTTACAGCACGTATCCCAATTGTAATGAAATGTATAATTTGTTAATAGCAGTCTCCTTGGCTAGAATGTAAGCGTTATAAGGGTGGGTACTGTGCCTGTCTTGTTCACCGTGCCTGGTTTGTGCCTGGCACATTGTAAGGTGCTCAGCAAATATTTGTTGATGAATGAATGAGTACCTGTTGTGTATGAGCTATGTGCTCGCTGGTCTTTTGGGAAAAACACAAGAGTGAAACTTCTAGCTGTCGTATTGGGCTGGGGGAGAGGGAGAGAAATAATGCCTATATTGCAATCAAAACCAGTATGTATTGACTAATTAAAAAACGGTAGTTATCGGTAGGGAGCATTTGTTGAATGTAAGGCTGCAGACTGGCAGAAGAGAGCACTGTGGTGTGGCCAGAGGTAGGCTGGCTGAATGTCTTTGAAGTGGGGGTGGTGCTGGGGGTCGAATGTGTGCCTGGGCTGTGTGTTGTCTCTAGCTTTTCCCAGGCTAGAGACTGGTGTCTCTGTGGACAGAGAATATATCAGACAGAAAAAGCCTTTCAGATATGGCCTTGTTTGTACTGAAACAAAAAGATTGTTGAACCTAACCCCACTGCTGTGCTTGGAGGCCTGATAGTGTTTTCTTCTTGCTGCTATATCTGTGTGGAGGGGTGTATTAGTTAGCTAGAGCTGCCATAACAAAATACCACAGACTTAGGGGCTTAAACAAGGAAATTCACTTCCTCACAGTTCTGGAGGTCAGAAGTCCAAGATCAATGTGTCAGCAGCTTTAGTTTCTTCTGAGACCTCTTTCTTTGGTTTGTAGATGGCCATCATCTTGTTGTGTCCTCATGTGGCTTTTTCTCTGTGCAACAGCATCCCTGTGTTTCTTCTTATAAGGACACCAGTCATATTGGATTAGGGCCACGTCTTTATGACCTCATTTAATCTTAATTACCTTTTTAAGGCTCTATCTCCAAATACTGTTATATTCTGAGGTACTGGAGATTAGGGCTTGAATGAATGAATTTTAGGGGAACACAAGACTGTAAAAAGGGGAATTTGCATATTTTGGAGTTGTGTGTGTGTGTGGTGTCAGGAGTGTTCATAAGGAAGGGAGGCAGATACAGCTGTAATAGATTATATTAAAATTTTGTTTTGTTTTGCTTTGACGGGAATTTAGGGCCTCTTGCTGCATTACAAAAATTTGATACCATAGCTTGAATCCATAATGCCAGTGTTTGACTTTCTGTTCAACAGCATGTAGCCTTGGTAATGGAGCAGCCACTGAGATCTCAGGGCTGATGGAGAAATCCTGTGCATTGCCCTCACTTCACACCATGCAAGCTTTTCATTTGTTCTTTCTTTGGTGGGGCTGCATGGGGTCTTACATTCATTCACTGTAAAATACATGCACACTTCTTCCGACCAGCACAGTTTCAGATGCAGGGGAAATACCAGTGAGCAAAACAAAGTACCTGCACTTGTGGAATTTACTTTTTAGGAGATAGATAGTAAATAAGTAAACATAAGTGATGCAATGACAGGGAGTGCTATGAAGAAACATAAAGCAAAAACAAAAAGGAGGTAAAGTGATGGGGTGCTATTTAAGATATGGTCATACAGTTAGCTGCCTGCCAGGGCTGGGTTAGCAAATATCCTTTTTTTTCTTTATTCTTAGCGACACAGTATGGTATAATGAAAGGAGCAGGCATCGACTTATTGCCTACCCAGTTATGTGACTATGGAAAATTACTTAACCTTCCTGATGCTTAGTTTCTTCATTTGTACAACGAGAGCGACAAGCCTGTCTCCTCTGTTGTTGTGAGAATTAAAGGCGAATGCCCAGGACACAGAGAAGCACTCAGTAATTGGTAGCTATTATTGTCCCTGAGGACCTCTAGAACCTGTGTCCCTGCCATGGCTTGTACTTCCAGCTTGGAGTCCTTGCAGCCCAGGACGGCTGTAGACTAGACCACAAAGGGTGAGGGTTTGTATGTATTTTTTTGTAGTTATTTTAAATCACTTTTCCTCGTGTCTTCAAAAACAAACACATTTTAAAGGTTTTATTACTCATCTCTAGGAAGAACCAGCCAGGAGTAGGTAGTTAGAAAAATTATGAGGATTTCTGAAATCTTAATAAGATTTTCCTTGCAGGCTGATGGTGCCTTATCTTCAATTTTGAATACAAAAAGCTCTGAACACCCCAAACTGACCTGACATAAGGCTGTTTATAGTCTTTGCTCACTTACTGTGAGTATGTGTACCGTTTAGTGCAGAAATCACACTGCTTTGCTTATGGGGTATGCTCCCAGAACTTGCAGCGGTCTATATGATTTATATACCATATTACTTTTTGAAACGTCTATAAAAATTTGTATCTGGCTGCAAGTGTTTCAGATTAGGGATATGGCAATTTTATTGTATAAAATCATATAGACATGTGATAGACATATTGCCCATGAAGGGGAAATCTGTTCCCTTACGGAGATCTCACCATGTGAATCTTGAGTCACAAATATAGTACTTAGAAAAGCCCTTAGAGATCAATGCCAACCTCTTTCACTTACAGATGAAATAACAATGATATGCCTTGCTTGAGGGTACAGAATCTTTAACTTTGATTACAGAAAGTCATTGCCAGTTTTTCTGGTGAGGGTGTGAGGAGAAGGGACAAGAACTAGTTCCAGTGTATTTCCTACCCACTTTGTTCCCATTTCTCCTCGTTATTTCTTTTCTTAGCCACCCCAGGTAATTAGCTTTCATCAGGAGGAACTCCCATGCTGTCCCCAAAAAGCAACATATGGGGGCTGGGGCATTGGAAGGGAAAGGTAAAGAGTGGCACGGGATAAGCTGTGGATGCTAAGGCCTCCTCTCACATGAGAACTGTGGTGTTTTATGGACGGGACCACTGTCCAAGTGTGAGTTGCATGTAACAACTTCTTAAGAATGAGCCTATGAAATCTCATCTGTTATAGGCTCTGAGATGTCAAGGTGAGAAAGACAGAGACAGATAAATAAACATTGACTGTTGTGATCGTCCTGCTTTTTCATCCTTGGCTTATTTTAACCCTAGGGTGCAAATAGCTATGGGCAACTTGGCCTTGGCCATAAGGAAGATGTGCTTTTGCCTCAGCAACTGAGTGACTTCTGTGAACCTGGGCGTGTCAGGAGAATCACAGGAGGAGGAGGCCACTCTGCTGTTGTCACAGGTAACTTTCTTCAAGAATAGATAGCCCTCATTTTCTTATTTAGACGTTTCCCCCACTAGTTGTCATATTACTATCTTTCAGCCTTTTGTGTTTTGCAGAGGAAACCATTAGAGAAAACTAGGCTGCCAGAGCGGAAGGAACTTCAGAGATCTAGGTTCTTCCTAGGCTCTCCTTCCCCTCCTCCTACCCCTATCCCATTACACAAGTGAGGCTCAGAGAGGAAAACTGCTTGCTTAACGTTACAAGACAAGTTAGTGGTAGAGTTGCAACATATATCACGTTTTATACCATATATTGTTATTTAACTTTTGTATATGAGTTAGAGGTCTTTGCAATTAGATTGGATATTCCTTGAGAGCAGGAACTTTGCATTTTCCTTAATTTTTCTAGAGTACCTAGGATAGGATTCAACCAGTACTATAAGTGCTACAATATTGTGAAGGAGGGCACATTGTATTCTGGTTAAGAACACAAACTCTGGAATCAAACTGCCTGGATTCAGATGCTGTTTCTGTTATTCATTAACTGTGTGGTCTTAGGAAAATTACTTAATTTCTCTGTGCCAGTTTCCTCGCTGTTGCATGGATGAGAAGAATTAATGAGTTAACAGGGCTGCATTTTGACTTTTATGAGTCCTTAGCACTTTTGCCTTTGTGGACCCCTTCTTTCATAAAGGAATATTAAAAGTTATACTTTATGATGACATTGATATAAAGATTAATATAATCCAGGCTGGATTTAGTGTTACACATTTATTATAAATACCTTTATTTTTTCGTATTTTAAAATAATTTAAAATTAAGATGTTATGGTTCTCTAAGTATTGTGGGTTCTAGGCACTGTACCTAAAGGAAAAATCAGCCTCACAGAAAGCTCTTAGAACAATACCAGGCACATTCTAAGTGCTGAATAAATGTTGGCTTTTATTGTTATAGTAGATGCTCAATAACAGTGATTGATTGGCCACTGCTGTAGGACTTGGAGTTTCCGTTTAGATATTAGATGGGAGCCCTTTGGCTCTATGCCATTTGGTCCAGTGTACTTTAACATACATGCTTATTAACATGGGTGGGAAAAATGTTATTGTGTTTGTGACTTCAAATAGTGAAATCCTTTCGCTCACTTTGGCAGTTGTAATTTCCCCTGTGCACACTGTCACCAAAGCCTTTGCCTTTTTGCAGATGGAGGAAGCCTTTTTGTTTGTGGCCTGAACAAAGATGGGCAGTTGGGGCTTGGTCACACAGAGGATGTTTTATATTTTACTCCCTGTAAATCCCTCCTTGGCTGTCCCATCCAACAGGTGGCCTGTGGCTGGGACTTTACCATTATTCTCACAGGTGAGTTTACTCCTAGGTAAGTCTTTATCACCACAAAGGTTTTGGATGAAAAGAGCATGATATTGGTGATGCTGATTAAATGAAAGCCTCTCGCTATGTTTCAAAACACACAAATGTTCTCTCTGGTTGTCAAGGAAAGTCATGGGTTGTCTTTTGTAAAGAGAGTTTAAACAGTAAAACTTTGGACCGGAATTCTTGCAAGAGACTAGAGAATGAACTAGAACACTTTTGGTGGCTACTTCCTACCCCACAAGTTCATGATAGCTGTGTGGCCGGGGTAATTGATGAGTAGTGCCAGCTAAGGTTACCCACGGGAATGTCGGGGGGAGTATGAGGAAATCAGAGGTTGCCACAACAATGATGGCAGCTTTTTCCCAATGAGAGATTAAAAAAAATAAAAATAAAAAGGTTGGGCAGCATTGTTCAGTCTCTGTGAAGCTGGATAATAGAATAGGATGCAGAGGACAAAGGGTTAATAGAATAAAATTGGCCCTCTGTATCTGTGGGTTTTGCATCTGTGGATTCAACCAACTGCTGATCAAAAACTGTAGTACAGTATTTTTTCTTTTCTTTTTTTCTGTTTAAGGCAAGGCAACCCTTGGTTGACCTCACAGATTGCAAGGACGTTGTCAGCTTACAATCCCTTGTTTTTTATTTTTTATGCCTACAGCACTTGGTCTTCCTAGGTGGTCTCCCATCCAAGTACTAATCAGGCCCCACCCTGCTTAGCTTCTGAGATCAGATGGGATCAGGCTCGTTCAGGGTGGACAGTAGTACAGACTTTTCAATCTGCAGTTGAGAATCCATGGATGCAGAGGGCCAACTGTATGCATTGTTGTATGCTATTTTATTCCCTTTGCACATGACCTTTGTCCTCCTCTCATTCCCTTTGTTCCTCTCATTCTTTAGCATTTACCCGTTGTTCATAGGTATCTTACTTCTTAGATTGTAATTTAAGCATTTGTATTTTGCAGAAAATGGGCAGGTTCTATCATGTGGATCTAACTCCTTTGGCCAGTTAGGAGTTCCTCATGGGCCTCGAAGATGTATGGCTCCCCAGGCCATTGAGGTAAGGACGGCACCCGATATGCAGCTTCCCCATGACCCATTAAAGCGTTTCCAGGGTGTCACAGTTATCCCTTCCGAGGCTAAAATGCTGGCTGGGTCCCTGAAAACCCAGGCAGGAGTTAGATGTTAAGTTGAAAAGCTTAGGTTTTTCTGGGAAAAATTAGATTGAGGGGGTGGAGGTTGTGAGTGGAAAAAAAATGCTGTCCTCATACACATTACAAATTTTTGTGAAATAAAACAATGAAGGTAAAATATCTTATAAAGACATTAATGACTTTTTATAATTCTAAAATTAATAATAATGAGGGTTGTGTTAGAAATAGGTTCGGATAGAATGACTTACCTAGACACTAAGCCAGGCAAATAGTACAGGCCAGTGCTGTCCAATAGAAATATAATGTGAGCCACATAGGTAGTTTAAAAATTTCTAGTAGCACCACTTAAAAAAGTAAAGGGAAACAGGTGAAATTAATTTTTAAAATAATAGCTTTATTGAGCTGTAATTCACATACCATGAAATTTACCTTTTAAAAAATGTATAATTTTGTGATCTTTAGTATATTCACAAAAGCAACTATTACCAATATCTAATTTTGGAACATTTTCATCATCAGGAAAGAAACTGCGTACCCAGTAGCAGCCACTTCCTATCATCCCCTCACCCCAGCTCCTGGTGACCATTAATCCATCTCTACGGATTCGCCTATTCTGGGCATTTCATATAAATGGAATTATACAATATGTAGTCTTTTATGTTTGGCTTCTTTCACTTCACCTTATGTTTTCAACTTTCCTCCATGTTGTGGTTCGTAGTTGAAATTCATTTTAATAACATTTAAATGAATCCAGTGTATCTGAACTGTTATCATTTCCTTTTATATACCATTAATATAAGAACTTACTAACTATATATTTTATATTCTTTATGTTATACTAAGTTGAACTCCGGTGTACAGTTTTTACTTACAGTATGTCTCGATTCAGTCTGGTCACATTTCAATTGTTCAGTAGCCACATGTAGCTAGTGGCTACCATGTTTGTATTTAACAGCATGAGTGTTAAACAGGACTCTTGGCCCTAGTTCAGAGCTCTTTTGACCACATCATACTTAAAATGTATAAATTTTTGTGAAGTTTATATTGTAAGTGATCATAATAGGACTGACTATGGAATTTTTAAAAGAAATATGCTGGGATCTAAAATGAGTTTTGCCACCGAAGCTGCTCCGCTCCTATCTAATTTCCTTAAGCTCTGACTCAGAGTAGGAGCTCTGTTTTCACTGGAGAGACCTGGGTCTGCTCTTATCATCTTGCTGAATTATGATTGCTGCTCTGTAGGGTAAGGGTTATGATTTCCATGGTGTTTTAATCTGTTTGGGGTGCTTTAACAAAAATGCCCTAGACTAGGTGGCTTAAACAACAGGCATTTATTTTTCACATTTCTCATGCCTGGAGCCTGGGAAGTATAAGATAAAGCACCAGCAGATTTGGTGTCTGGTTCATAGACAGCCATCTTTTTGCTGTGTCCTTCGATGGCAGAAGAGGCAAAGGAGCTCTCTAGGATCTCTTTTATAATGGCATTAATGCAATTCATGAGGGCTCTGTCCTCATGACTTAATCACCTCCCAAAGACCTCACCTCCAAATACCATCACATTGGATAATAGATCTTAATATCTGAACTTCGGGGAGAGAACACAGTCATTCAGTCTGTACCACATGTTATGCATGGAGGTCTAGCCTCTGTAGTAGTCCCTTTTGTAGGAAGTGTTACTGCTTCCAGTTATAGATAGATGGCTTTCTAAGAACCTGCCTAAAAGTTATAATTAATGTAGCTTAAGTCACATGATTAAAGAAGACAGAAGGGAACAATGGTTAAAATATGTTAGATGTCAGAATCAGAAGGTAGAAATATTTTGACAGGCTATGGAATAATGGGAGGAATGTGCCAAAGCGCAAGACAGAATCAGAAGGTAGAAATATTTTGATAGGCTGTATCCTATGGAATAATGGGAGGAATGTGCCAAAGCGCAATGTAATAGAAATTCATTCATTTATTTATATAGCAACTATCATGTATGGATGCCGTGTTTGGGCAGTGGGGACAAAGGTGAGTAAGATCCAATCCTAGCATTTGAGGATCTTATAGTTTAGTAGTACATGTTGGGTATAGAAACACTTAAATGCATCATCATGTTTGAACTGTCGTAGATGCATACATAGCCTCAAAGGAGGGAATATTGAACTCTTTCTAGGGGAAGATAGGCTTATGCTGATTCTTGAAAATTGAGTAGAAGTTTATCCGGCTTGAGATAGGATGCAAAAGGTACAAAAGAGTAGGTACCAAAGAAGACATTCTAGACAGAGGAACTGTGTAAACAAAGGTCTAGGAGCATAAAACGGGAGGTTTGGGATACTGCAAGCAGTTCATTTTGACTGGATTATAAGGAAGTGGTGGACTACCAGTGGGGAGGGGTCAGTTGGGGAGGTAGTACATGACAAATGTAAGAACAGTGTGGTAGGGAGGGGTCAGGTGGGGCTAGTGGGGAAGATTGAAGGAAGACCACTCGAGAAGCTCTTGCTAAGCATTCAGACAAGAGAAGATCCTAGTACAAACTAAAGTCGAGGCAGTGGGGATGGAGAGGAAGGCATGGAGGTGAGTAGAAGATATTGAAGAGATTGAATTTCCATATAAATCCCTTCAGTTAGTTTTGAAAAAAAAAGTTTTTTAAAGGACACGTTCAAATTGTATTGGCAGTAAAATTTGATCTTCCCCAAAGACTGTGGGCTGCATTAACAATTATTGTCCCCAGAAGAAGGGAGGCCAGAGTCCCTGTGCTTCTTAGGCTAGTTAGCTTGTGTCTGGGATGTTATGTCCTGTTGTGGGTTCAGTACTTAGGCCCTGGGCATAAAAGTGACTATGACTGAGACCCTGCCCTTGAGAGCCCTAAAATTTAGAAAGACACAGTGGACTTGTAAATAAACTAATGTGGTAAAGCTCCATAGGGCTGTAATTGATGCATATACAGTCCCTTTCAAAGAGAGAGACTGAGTAGCCAGAGTGTATTTAGAGGAGAGAAACTAAGAGGGGATGACATTTGAAATTGGGTAATTGCTGATGAAATTGGGGATATTTAGCCTAAAGAAGAGATATATATTAGTTATCTATTGCCGTGTAATAAATTACTGTAAAATTGAGCAGCTTAAAACAACAACATTTATTATCTCACAGTTTCTGAGAGTCAGGAATCTGGGAACAGCTTAGCTGGTCTCCGATGAAGTTGCAGTTAAGATATCAGCCAGGGCTGCATGCCGTCTGCTGAAGGCTCAATTGGGTTGGCGGATCCCCTTCCACAGTCTCTCACCTGGCAGGAGGCTTCAGTTCCTCGCCACAGGAGCCCCACTATGGACTGCTCAGACATGGCATCTGGCTTTTCCCTAGAGTGATTCCAGAGAGGAGAGAAAGGCCAAATGAGAAGCTCCAGTGCCTTTTATCACCTCATCTCTGAGCCACTCATCACTTCCTTAGTCCTATTTACTAGAAACATGTCACTAAATCCAGCCCACATTCAATCAGAGAGGAATTAAGCTGCAGAGGGGTCTCAAAGAATGTGAGAACCTTTTTTTAAAAGCACCACAAGGTATCTTGGAGAGGACATGACAGCTGTCTTCACATGTTTGGAGAACATTGTCAGAAACCATAGGCAGATAGGTTTGGCTCCATCTAAGGAAATAAACGGATCAGTGCAAAGATGGAACAGACACCTGGGGAGGTGGTAAGCCTGTGTCACTGAAAGTAGGTATTTGGCAGGATGTTGTGGAGCCATTTCTAGTATTGGTTGGGGGTTGGACTAGATCAGAGAGCCACAAACTAGAATACTTGGTAAATAAAGTTCTACTGGAACACAGCCATGCCCCTTCATTTGTGTATTGCCTGTGACTGCTTTTATGTTACAGCGGCAGAGTAGAGTGGTGTGACAGAAACCATATGGCCTGCAAAGTCTAAAATCTTTACTATCTGCCCTGTGTAGAAAATATTTGCCACCTCCTGGACTGGATGACCTTGAAGGTCCCTCTCCTCCCTGAGAGGCATTGTGATCTGGTATTTTAAAAAGATTTTTGTCTTTTATGGGTGCATATGGAGGTATTTATGGATGGAAATATTGGGATTTGGGTGCTCTAAACCAATCAGACACGTAATGAGGGCCAGACTGCATTTTGACCATCAATTACATGTAACATTTTGTAGATGGATGATTCTGAAATCTCAACCCTTTTCTTTATTTTGACAGTTCTTGAGAGAGAAGGTTGTTAGTATTGCTGCTGGACTGAGGCATGCATTAGTTGCTACAGGTGATCATTTCACTTTTTTTCTTTTTCAATTACAGTTGACATCCAGTATTATATTACTAGTTTCATGTGTATAGCATAGTGGTTAGACATTTGTATAACTTATAAAGTGATACCCCCGGTAAGTCTAGTGCCCACCTGACACCATACATAGTTATTATAGTATTATTGGCTATTTCCCCTCTGCTGTACTTTGCATCCCCATGACTATTTTGTATGATGGTTGCTGGGGGTGGGGGGTGGAGAGTGGGGGTTGGGAGGCTGGGTGAAAAAGGGGAAGGGATTAAGAAGTATACATTGGTAGTTACAAAATAGTTATTTTACTTTTGTTTCCTAAAAGGCATGTAATAAGGAGAAATAAGAGTGATATAAGAAATAAACTTTAAGGAGTAATTCAGAGTGTTCTGCTATGTTGCACTTGTGATTAAAAGGAGGGGACGTAAGGCCAAAGTCATGTGGGAAAGGCTTTAGCAGGTAGGGAGGAAGGAAATGAAATTTTCCACCTCCTTATTATGTGTTAGGTAGGGGGCTAGGTTCTCTTGATTTAATCAACACATCATTTAATCCTCACAACTACGCAGTGATGTGAGTTAAATTTTTATGTGTGAAGAAACTGGGGTCAGAGAGGCTAAAGCACTTGTCTAAGGTTGCACAAGGAGTAAGGTAGTAAAAGGTGCAGCTAGGATCAGAGTCTGGGGTGATCTGGATTCTAAGGCCCACTTTCTTTGCTGTGACCGTAGTGCTTTCCTAGTGGATTTTATTGTTTATTCATTTAAAACCTTCAAGTGAGCTTGTTTTCTGGACCGTGAGAGAGTGACGGATGTAGGGCTGACAGTGTGTGTGAGGTTGAGGATGGCGAGTAGAGGGGGTGGTGGCAGGTGGAAGAGCAGTGATCTTTTTCTTTCTCTCTTGGTCGTTTTTCTGCTGCCACTCCTGTGGGCTGAAGGATGGCCCTAACTGGCTGTGGCAGCTGAGGCCCAAATGTTTGGTGCATCTAGTGGTAGAGCTGGGAGAGGACAGGAGGTGAAGAAGAGTCTGGTGCTGCACTGTGCTGATGGTTACCGGGGGCTTAGTGTCGATTGTATATTTTTTTAAAAATTTAATTTTTTATTTTGAGATAATTGTGGATTCACATGCAGTTGTAAGAAATAAGCTAAATCTCATGCATTCTTTTTCCAATTTCTCTCAGTAATAGCATCTTTTGTAACTGTAGTGCAGCCACACTACCAGGATGTTTTGTACAGTCAAGATAGGGAATAGTTCCATCACCACAAGGAGCCTCTTGCTGCCCTTTTACAGCCACGCCCACTTACTACCTGCCCCACCCCCCTATTAGCTCCTGGCAACCACTCTTCTGTTCTCTATCTCTATAATGCTGTCATTTCAAGAATGTTTTATCAATGGTATCATACAGTATACAACCCTTTGGAGTTGTATACTGTATGATACCATTGATAAAACGCAACAAGATTCCCTGGAGATTCATCTAAGTTTTGAGTATCAATAATGTCCTTTTTATTGCTGAGTAGTGTTTCACGGTATAGATTTACCACTGTATTAGCTCAGGCTGCTGTAACAAAATACCACAGACTGGGTGGCTCAAAGAGCAAGAATGTATTTTTTCAGTTATGGAGGCTAGCATTCCAAGATCAAGGTGCTATGAGGGTTGGTTTCTGGTGAGGCCTCTCTTCCTGATTTGTGGATGGTTTCCTTATCTCTGTCCTCACATAGCCTTTCCTCTGTGCACACGTGGACAGATAGAGACCCCTGATCTCTTTTCCTCTTTATATAAGGGCACCAGATCTATCAGGTTAAGGCCTTACTCTTATGACCTGCTTAACCTTTATTATCTCTTTATAGACACTGTCTCCAAATATAGTCACACTGCAGGTTAGGGCTTCAGCATGAATTTTTGGGGGACATAATTCAGTCCATAACAACTACGATTTACTTAACCAGTCACCCATTGAAGAACATCTGGTTGTTTCTAGTTTTTGGCTATTAAGAATAAAGCTATAAACATTTGTGGACAAGTTTTTATGTGAACATAAATTTTCATTTCCCTGGGATAAATGCCCAGGAGTGTGATTGCTGTGTTGTATGGTAGTGATTACACTTTTATAAGCAGCAGCTTCTCTTAGAAATTAGCAGGGCTGGAGAATTGCCTATCATAGGTTTACTTCCTCCTTTCCTACCAACTTTCTATAATTGCTAGTCTCATGTGTATATTTCTGTCTAGTTGCAAAGCAGCGCAGTTTCCATTATGTGTTTGATTAAGTTAATTGTAAGTATTCCTGTCCTCCATTCATTTTATAAATATTTCTGCATGCATCTCTAAAAGATGAGGACTCTTTCTGAAAACATTACCAAAATACCATCATCATACCTATAAAAAATTAACAATAATGCTGTAATGTCATCAAATATCTAGTCAGCGTTTAAATTTCCCTGATTATCTCAAAAACATTTTTTTTTTACAGTTTGTTTTTATCAGGATCTAAATTAGGTGTATATATTGTAATCGGTTGATATGTATCTCAAGTCTCTCTTTTTAAAAATATTCCTTTAAAAAATTTTTGTGATAAAATAACAACAAAATTTGCCATCTTAACAATTTTTAAGAGTACGGTTGAGTGCTTTTGACATTATTCACATTATTGTGCAACTGTGATACTATTTATCTTCAGAATGTATTTCCTTTTGCAAAACTGAAACTCTATATCCACTAAACAATAACTCAACATTTCCCCCTCCCCCCAGGCCCTGGCATCCACCATTCTACTTTCTGTCTGTATGATTTTTGACCACTCATGCAGCTGCCTTATATAAATGAAATTGTGCAATATTTGTCCTTTTGTGGCTTATTTCACTTAGCATTGTATCCTCAAGGTCTATCCATGTTGTAGCATATGTCAGAGTTTCCTTCCTTTTTAAGGCTTAATCATTTCACTTTTATGTACATATCACATTTTGTTTATCATTTCATCTGTTGATAGACATTTGGGTTGCTTTCTTACATTTTAGCCATTGTGAATAATGCTGCTATGAACATGAGTGTACAAAGTTCACTTTGAGATCCTGCTTTTAATTTTTTAGGATATATACCCAGAAGTAGACTTGGTGTATCTTATAGTAATTATATTTTTAATTATCTGAAGAACTACCATACTGTTTTCTGTAATGGCTATACCATTTTACATTCCCACCAATAGTGCACAAGCATTCTCAAATTTCTTCAGGTCCTCACTAACACTTGTTATTTTCTTTTTTTAAAAATGATATACATCCTAATGGGTGTGAAGGGGGTATATCACTATTGTTTTTGATTTGCATTTCCATAATGATTAGTGATGTCGAGTATTTTTTCATGTGCTTATTGGCCATTTGTGTATTTTCTTTAGAGAAATGTTTGTTCAAGTCTTTTGCTAATTTTTAAATCAGGTTGTTTGTTTTTGTGCTGAGTTTTAGGAGTTCTCTATATATTCTGAATATTAATCCTTTATCAGATAGCTAAAGTCTCTTTTAGTGTATGTTTCTTTTCCTCTCTTTTTTTCTTCTTGAGTTTATTTGTTGAAGACATTTTAAGTTTTGTTTTATTTCAACACTGTTTTTTTGCTCACATTGTGTGCAATCATAATCACTTAAATTTCACAAAGCAGGCTTTCTCTTTACAGCCTAAAAGGACCATTGGTTATAGGATATTTCCAGAGGAATAGAGCCTTAATGTTGCTGTAGGGTGATGGGTCCTAGTTATACACATCTGACTGTAGCCAAATGTATAAAATTCCATCTACACATTTGTAGAAAGTACAGAACATGGGTACATGAATTGCATGAATTCCATGGACATGGAAATCAAAGGCAATTCCACTGAAATCATAGCTATTAAGAAGTTATCTTGCAGTCATACATTTATTTGGCAATTAGGAATCTTTGAATTCATCTTGGTGTAGTAGAAAGGGCACCACATTAGGTATTAGGAGAGCTGAGTTCTAGTATTTTCTCTACTACTAGCTCCCTGTATGACCTTGGACAAATCATAATCTCTCTTCAGGGCCTCAGTTTTCTTATGTAGTAAATGTGAGAAATGGACTTGATAATATTCAGAGTTCTTTCCCACTTGGTTTAGAGTCTGAGTGGTCCTTTCAAGTTAATCATGAACAAAGTGTCATAAGTAATATGATCCTGGAGGAGTGTCCTGGAACTTTCTGGAGGGAGTTTTACTATGTTGGAATTTTATCTTTTGGTCTTAGATTGCTCTAAAGATTGGACTTGTGATTTGCTTGGTGGTAATCCCTATGACCAGTCATAGGCCCTTGAAGTCATAAGCTTCTCCGTAATATGCTTATTAACTGAGAATGAATTGGTACTCTCCCATAACAGTGAGGTTCAAAGAGCAATCTGGTCTTATCCAGATAAGCATTTTTTCTTTTTCTCTTCTGCTCCATCGGGAAGCAAGTGGCCTCGTGTTTCAGTGGGGAACTGGTCTGGCATCATCTGGACGGCGGTTGTGTCCTGGACAGATTCTCCCACTGTTTTGGACAGCAAAGGAACCCAGCAGAGTGACAGGTAAGGCCCTTATTTTTTCTGAGTCCTATATTGATTCTTTGTCAAGAAGTAGAGACACGGGCATGCTGAAAATGGGTAAATCGAGTTTTGTTTTGTTATGTCTTGATCTCCCTGTCTTAACTTTATCTATCGATTAGTCTTTTAATCCTGTTTGGATTTCTGTGGGCCCTTGTTCCCTGCCAGAGTTTGGAATCCATTGAGAGATACAAGTCAGGTATGTGGAGATCAAAAGGATAGCTCTAGAACTGTTAAAAGCTAGGTTTGAAGACATGACTTAGGTGTTTGGAAATAATGTGAAGGAATAGTGAGCCTCTGAATTCTGAACCCCAGATTGAGCTTTCCCACCAGACCCTGGAGCAGCTGCACAGAGTTGGCTAAGCTGACTGACAGCCAAGAGCACGTAGGCGGGCGCCCCGTCTGCAGGCAGCCACCTCCCACGGGAGACCGAGAAGGACTGTGTCTCACGTGCCCAATTCCTTCCCCCAAAAGAAAGCAGGAGTGAGTGAGGACGCAGAGAGAGGGGCTGAGAGTGTGCCCCCAAGGACATCTCTCTCCCTGGGCACATGAGGAGCACGTAGTAAGGACCCTGCCCACAGGTCTGTTGGTCAGTCTTTGTGGGTCAGTTAGTCTGTAGGACTTTCTCTTTTTCTCTTTCATGCTGAGACTCCTTTTCGTTCTCTTTCTCTCTCCCTCAGCTCTACACTCACTTTGTGGGCCTTTCTCTCTCTCTATGCAGCACCATGTCTCCCTCTATCTCTTCTTCTCCTTTCTTTCTCCCTTGCTCTCTTACTCAGTACACACCTAGCTTACTGAGTGTTGGCTGTAGGAAAAACCTTTATAGGAAACTTCTAGCTATTCTCTTCTAGCTCCGAATAAAGGAGGGATTTTTGAGGATGGTAGGGAGCGGGGAAAGAAAAGGGAAAGGTAAGCCACAGTGGGAGCGATGTACAAGATGTTGGGATCATTCAGATTTTCCTAAGTCCTGGAGGCTCTCCCCTTCAGCTGAGGGTGAGGTTAGCTGCGCCGAAACCCATGCGTTGAGTTAGAGAGGTCACGCTTGGAGAAGGAGGCACTGGATGCTGGGCAGGCAGTCCATTTCACATGACATTGAAAATGTTCATAATATAAACTCATACCTCTCAAACATTTTTTTCCTGCCTCATGAAGGTATTCACTGCTCCTTGGGTATATCCTGCTTTCTCATTCCTCTGTGCCTGTGGGCAAACTGTTACCTCTTTCCTGTTCTCCCTGGGAGAATCCTGATAATTTTTCAGTGCCTAGCTGAGGTACAACTTTCTTAGTAAAGACTCTTCCCTCTTCTTGCCTCTGTCGCATTTTCTCACATGTGTGGATAGCACCGTGTATTATATTCTTATGAGTTGTTTATACGTTTCCCCACATGCCAAAGGTTATGAGCTTTTTAAGGGCAAGAACTGTGTCTGCTTTCTATTTTAGCACAGAATCTGTGACTAGAAAGAATTAGAAGTGGTTTTATTCAATTTGATTTAAATGACCTATTTGGGATCTGCTGAGATTCGGAGTTGATTTGGGGGAGTTTTCTGATGAGACATTAGAATAGATCATCGACTTCCTGCTGTCAAGGTCTTTCACTTTTTATTTTCCCATCTTCAGGTTCTGGAGCTGGAACCTTGCATTTCTCTTCCTCACCTGGCCAGTAGGGGCCCACTGCTTCTTCTCTGGTGAATGTGGCTGAAACATCTGCTTTGTTCTTTTCTCATTCCACAGGATACAAGAAGGTGTGAGGGGCATTTTATTAAGATACCAGTTAATTAAATGGAAGTGTAAGAAAAAAGAATTACAGAAAAATACTGCATTTCTCTGCTTCTAGACCAGATAACTACAACTGCTAGCAGAGTTGGTTGAGATTGTATCTTGTCAGGGAAGGCTGTGTAATTAAGGGAAGAAAGTGTTGAATTTGGAGAACAAATCCTTGTTCTTCCTGTGTGTTGTTAGCAGGCCTGGGTTTGTATTTCAATGCCTGTACGTGATAGCAGGTGAATGTATGACATGTCTTTGCTTCTAGGCCTCTTTGGTAGACCTAGCTAGGAAATATACGTGCACATACATGTTTATACATATGTATGCCTATATCTATATCTCTCTCTACTAGAAACCACGAGTCTACAATGATTTCTCCAATTACAGTTCAATAATACATGGTTGATTCTAGCCTTATACCTTTTCGTATCTGTGCCTTTCCTCTCCTCTCTGGTAGTGAGAAATATGGCTCCCTTATCCTCAATATATTTGTTTATTTGCTCACTCTCGTGGTATGTAACCAGCCTTCCTACCATGTTAGCCATCTTCTTGGCTAGTAAGATGCTGCTGACTCAGACCTGCCTGCACTGGCTGACAGTTTTTCCCAGGCCTCATTAGTGCTCCCTGAGTCCCTTCTCTGCCCGGTTTGTTCTGTTATAAATATAATTTCTAAAGAAAAAAATTTTTTTGTAGGCCTAGAGAATTCTAAAGCAGTATGTGTCGTTGCCGGCGCAGGTCACTCAGCTTCAGTGACAGGTGGGTACCAGCTCTTTCGGTTTAATATGCTGTGCAGAATGCGGTGTTTCTACCTTGAGTGGTGGTATTGGGATACAAAGGGAAGGGCCTAGAGTTTAGAGTCAGAATTCTGATGCCACCACTGGTGATATCTTAGGCAAGTCACTTTACCCTCCTGAGACCACTTCATTTTATATAAAATACTTTGTGGGTAGTTCTGAGACAAATACATATAAAGCACTCACTTCATTTCCTGAGTTTGTTTTTTCAGCTGTACGATAGGGCTAAGAATATCTTTTTCTCAGGGTAATTGTGATTGTCAAGTCATATAACCAACAGTATATTTATATGTAACATCTAAACTATTTCAGTGTCTAATATAACTATCAAAACTCTCTAGCTATCCTTTCTAGCTGTTTAATCTCAAACTAACCTATTTTATTCACCTATATCTAATTCATTTATCTCCCTGTTTGCTCTTTTTATATTTATCTACCCTATTTTTTTAACTATATATCTCTATTTTTAATCTTTCATCTTTGTATCTTTCTTTCTAATCTGTGCATCTATACATCTCTGCCTAGTTATGTATATGTTTTTCTAATCTATCTTGATATATTTCTCTAATTTATTTCTCTGTTCCATCTCTTTGATCTCCTCTGTCTAATCTTTTCTCTCTCACACTATAACCGTTTGGCTATGCATTCATCCATACATTTGACACACCCAGCTAATACGGTATAAACTTTCTAGTGACAATGCAGCATTTTCTTCAAAGTGAAGGTTATCTTTTCCAAAGGTTATCTCTTTCAGAGCCCAGATTGCTCTGCCCTCTGCTGGTAGACTGGAGACTATAGCTCTGAGAAATTTATTTGGTAAGACGTCACACAGAGAGTTGAATGCATTACATTTTTGAGCAAAGGGAAATGACTTTCATGCATCGTGTTTTATGTGGAAATTAAGGTGTGTACACAGTAAATGCAAATTAATGGTGGCTGCGTTCTTCAACATCAAATTTGCAATGCAGTCCATCTGCGAAGCTGTTGTCGTTTCCAGAACTCAGACATATGAATATAAATACTTTACAAATTCTGAACTACAGATACTTTATTATTTAATAAATTTTAGCCTGTTTCTCATATTGGGTAGATTTATATATATGTTGAAAGAAAATGAATGCCAGTTGTAGAGGAAGGACTGGAGGCCCCAGGACGGGAAGTGACTTGTTCATGCCCCACCGTCAGTGAGGGTTGGGGAAGGCATTTTTTTCTGAAAATAAGAGTAAGCTATGAGATGTTTCTACTTTGTTCTAATAATTTGAAATAGCTGGCAATATGTAAACCTAGAGATTTTCTAATTGCTTGCTAACATCAATTTCTTTAAAAAAATTTGTAATTAGTAATTTATTTCATATGTGGAACACTTATGGTGTTTTTAAAATATAGATGTTGAATTTTTATTTTATTGAGCTGTAATTCATATATCAAATTCACCCTTTTAAAGTGTACAATCTTGTGATTTTTAGTATATTCATAAAGTAAGTTGGGTTTTTTTTTGCTATTTGAATGTCAGTTAAAAATTATCAAGATTAATATCCCTCTTTCCTGGTCTAGTTCAGGCTGTTAACACATTGGATCTTGTTCAGTGCTCTTTGGACCTTTTCTCTGGAGGTGTTGTAGGTTATATAACTATTTGGCATTGCAGCAGAATTTAATTTTGCAAAAGTGTGATGATATGCATGTGGAAGACAGTTTTGCAAAAAGATAATTTAGACTTTCTAAGATAAATGAAGGCTTATTACAGACACAGGCTCATGGTCAGTGGCATCTTGGTAGCTAACCAGGCCACTTAATGCATTGAGACTTTGCTGAGGGCCTCTTCTGCCCTCTGGTAAAGGATCCTTATACTTTACACAAGGACGTTGCCCTTTCCCTGGGCATGAAGTACAGCATAGAGCTGCAGAATGTCAGTGCTGCAAGGTCACCTGGGTGACACAAAGGCTCACCTATTTATACTCCCTCATTTTAGGCTTGAGGAAACAGAGGCTCAGGATGTGAAGTGACGTGCCCGACATCAGAATGATTGAGCAGCAGATCTGGGACTTGAACCCTGAATATTGGTCTAATGCCTTTTAATGATACTGTTTTGCTTTTGATCTGTTTTTGAGAATATACCAGACTGCTCTAGGGCAAGCAGTACTGAAAAGCTGTATTGAGAGATCATACAATGAAGTGGAAACAGAAGGCCTGGCTTCTAGTCCTGCTTGACTCCTTATTAGCCGTGTGATCTTGAGCTGGGTGTGTCAAATGTGTGGATGGTTGCATAGCCAAACAGTTATAGTGTGAGAGAAAAAAGTCATTTAGAAGCTCTGAGCCTGTGTTAATTTATCTTCTAGAAGAATTCTGTCTCAGAAACAATGTGAGACACAGTTCAAAAAGTAAAAAGAAAAAGGTGAAGTAATTTAAATCTTTTACTCACCCCCACATATCCAAAATATTATTTCAACATGTAATCAGTGTGAAAATTATTAATGAACTATGCTCTATTTGTTTTTGTTTTTGTTTTTTGTTTTTTCTTTTTTTGCACCAAGTCTTTGGAATCCATTGTGCTTTTTTGTCTTATAACACATCTAGTTTTGGACTAGTCCTATTTCAAGTGTTCAGTAGCCGCGTATGTGTACTATGTGCTATATACAGTACAGTGTAGAACCTTAGAATATTAGGGTTGGAAAAGTCCTTAGGGTCATCCAAGGAGTCACAAACTGTAGATTCATAGGCCCAATTATAGCCCATGGCCCCATTTGTTTGGCTTCCAGTTAAAAAGTTTTTTGAACACGAATGTCTTTTAGATAAGCATGTGCCCTCTGGTTTGCCACAGTCACCCAGCAGTCTCTCTTGTTACCAGTGTCATCAGTTTTATCGTCTGCCCGTCTAGACCAACCTCCAGTGTTTGGCTGGTGAAACTAAGGCCTAGGGAGGAAGTGATTTGTCCAAGGTCAATAGCTAGTTAGCAGATCCAGGAATAGAAGTCGGAGTCACTTGACTCTGAATTTGCTTTTTTCTATTAAGTCACAATGTCAGTCGGT